ATAGTCTGGATTGGAGTTCCATGTCAAGGCTGGTGGCAAGACTAGAATCGAAGGTTTTCCAGTCTGTGATGCTCCATCTTTGGACCCAGTCCTAGGAAGGGGAATGCAGAGACTGGTTGTAAGTATAGGATTAGCTAGCAAAATACTTTTTCATATTCCTTTCTAGTGGTCTTCCTAAAACTAGCTGTCCACAAATTGTTCCCAAGGATCTATGCTTTCTAGGAGTTATGTTTAGAGAATAAAGTTATGTTTTACTTATAATCTTCGGGTGTTCTCTGAAGACTGCTCAGAAGATCCTACTGGAAAAGCTAAGATAGGCTGCGATCACACGCACTAAATAATCCACTTTCAACCCACTTTTGAATTGGATTTTGCCAGTTCACAAAGTAAAAATCCACTTGGAAAGTGCATTGAAAGTGGATTATTTAGTGTGTGTGATCGCAGCCATAGTTCAATTACACTGACCAGCTCCTTACGTTCTGAAAAGGCCTGCAGTGATGGATTCAGACAAAAAGAGACAGAAGGTGGGGCGAGCAGCCCGCACGCCTCCATCTCTCTAACACACAATACACACTGCTTACAAAGAGGGCCAGATTCAAACGGATTCCTTTTTTCTGATTGCAGGTCCTACCTTGGAAGGCTCCCAAACAGGCAGTGGCAGGGGGTGGGTTTGAAAGTAAAAGCATTTAAACACCAGACCCTTTTGGTTCTTGGCCAACTCAGAGTGTGCGGCTGAGTCCTAACAAAAAGGATAGAGCAAGGGCGGCCAAGGGACACTGAGGACCAATGATCCCTCTAAGCTGTGGAGTCTTGTGAGCAAAAATTCTACTTTGTGAGCTACTGGCATGAAAGTTGTGAGCGAGCCATTTGGCTGCTGCATAAATGAATTTTCTCTGGGGTCATCTTTTCTGAGCTAAGACAAAAATGCGTGAGCCAGAGCCTTAAAAACTGTGAGCTAGCTCACACTAACTCAGCTTAGAGGGAACACTGCTGAGGACTAAGGGGGGGTCTGTGACAATACCTACTACCAGGAGTCATTTTCTGCCGGAGCATGGCGGAGCAGCGCTCCGGCAGTAAAGAGCCTGGGGTGGTACCCCCCGCCATTCTTAGCCCGCCTGCACAGGCGGACCGGCCAGAAATGCCCTGCAGAGCCCCCTGCCACCTGGGGGGATTTAAATGCTTTCCTTTCCCTTCCCCAGATGGAGAAGGGAGAGAAAGACATTCTAAACATGCCTGGGTTCCCTGCCTGATCTTCTCCAGGTGCCCTGCGACTGCTTGCATGCCTGCCCTTTGTCGGGGTGTGTGGCATATGGAAATGAGTTATGCAAATGAGCTCCTGCACCCCTTTTTCTACGAAATGACCCCTGCCTACTACAGTTTTTGAAAGAAAGCTGGCACCAAGCACTCCAGTAGCATGGGGGAGGTCAAGCAGGAAGGGAAAGCACAGAGAATTCACCCTGTGAAGAGCCTCTGTCACCACTGTGAATGCCTCTGCTTTTGTAGAAGCAGCGAGAACACAAGGGGGGGGACTCATCCCTCTCTGAAAGCAACCTAAAATTTGTAGCTCATAATAAGTGAAGTCAGTATAACTAGCTAGGTTAACTTTCCAGGTAGTAAGTCTATGGCTGAACTGAGATTTGAAGTCAGCGGTTTCCGATCTGTGATTCACTCACTGGCCACTAGACAGCACTATTCCCCACCCACCCCCAGTACTTGAGGTCAGAACAATCGAAAGCTCGCTGGTTTGACTTATATCCTGCTTGCTGGTCACAACCAGGAAGCTGATCAGTTCTTTGGGTGTATTCAGTCAAATTCACAAGTCGTTGTTTGCACAGCTACAGACGGCTCACGCACAGCCACCCTCCCCCATTGCCGTCGTCTTCTTTTTGCTCTCAAGTTGCAGCCAATGAATCACAGCCCCGTGGGGTTTTCAAGGCAAGAGATGTTCAGAGGTGGTTTGCCATGGCCTGCCTCTGCATTGTGACCCTGGGCTTCCTTGGTGGCCTCCCATCCCAATACTAACCAGTGGTTGAAAGGGATTACAGGGGGAATATGAGGGAAATCCCCATTTGCCAGCACTCTCTGATGATTGTGGGTTGAAGAAGAAGAAGAAGAAGAAGAGATTGGATTTATACCCCGCCCTTCACTACCCAAAGGAGTCTCAGAGCAGCTTACAAACTCCTTTCCCTTCCCCTCCCCACAACAGACACCCTGTGAGGTAGGCGGGGCTGAGAGAGCTCTTTCCAGAACTATCCTTGAGATAAGAACTCTGACAGAACTGTGGCTTGCCCAAGGTCATCCAGCAGGTGCAAGTGGAGGAGTGGGGAATCAAACCCGGTTCTCCCAGATTAGAGTCCGCGCACTTAACCACTACACCAAACTGGCTGAAGAGGGAAATCTCCCGCAAGGGATGTATGGGGTGGCCTTGTAGCCTGTTCCTCCTCTGTCTGTCCTGGTGTACCCCCCCCTCCCCCACCCAGTGAAGATATGGGGAGTGAACAACTTCTTTGTTTTACTTGGCAGTAGCCTGGCTGATTAATAAGGAAAATGGTGGTAGGATTCGCTGAGACTGAGTCAACTGCTGCCTTTTACTTCTATTGCTAGTGTGGATCCTTGGGAAATGAGAGATTGTGTGGCTTTTATTGCACTGTTAGTGTGTATGTTGAGGAGTTAATTGGTTTATAGGGAATTTAGAAGAAGAAGAAGAGATTGGATTTATATCCATCCTTCACTCGGAATCTCAAAGCGGCTTACAAACTCCTTCCCCTTCCCCTCCCCACAACAGACACCCTGTGAGGTAGGCGGGGCTGAGAGAGCTCTTTCCAGGACTATCCTTGAGATAAGAACTCTGACAGAACTGTGGCCTGCCCAAGGTCATCCAGCAGCTGCAAGTGGAGGAGTGGGGAATCAAACCTGGTTCTCCCAGATTAGAGTCCGTGCACTTAACCACGACACCAAATTACACTATACCATCCTATGGCCACTGTGCTATTTGCATCATGATGTCATAAATGTGGATGGAATATTTACTCGTAGAGCCAGTTTTTATGGTAACTTGAGCACCCAAGCTGATGCCAGAGCTCTAAAAAAAGAATGAGTGGCTGTTCTTTACAATATGAAGCTTTTAATTTTGACCAAAGGAAGTTTCATTGCAGTGTGACAAAACTTCTGCTTTACAGCAAGCTTTAAAAAAAATGTGCTAGATAATTAGTTCAGGGTAGGTCTCTTGCCAAAGTCTTCGAACAGCTGATAAGACATCAAGTTCTCCAAGAAAGGGTATAGATCAGAATATTTGATTTCCTCTAATGTTTATCTTACTGCTGTCCTTTGCAGCTATAATGGACTCTCTGTTATGACATTTCATGGTGTCCCGTGTGTGGTTTCTAGTCACCATGACCTGGTGCAACCTTTGCTTTCATGTATATAGGATTGTATTCTGCCAAATAGTAGTGCAGCGTGCTGGCAGACACACATCTTCCCCATCTTTCCCTTCTTTCACAAGCCCCCTTTGATCGTTGAAAAGCTTGTGGTGGAAGTTCGGGACCTGCATGGGTTAAAAAAACAACAACCATGTGAGTTGGGGGGGGAGCTGCAGCAAGGAGAGGTATTGGCAAACTCACCCTTCCTCCCTCTTTGGCCGGTATAGCCTCTTCTACCTCAGTGTGGCACCACTCCCTCCTCTGCATGGCTTTCTTTTCACACAAGTCCTGTAACTTCCAGCACCGGCTTTTAGGGGCTCAAACAGGGCTGCTGTAGCAAGGAGAATGTAAAATTATAAGATCCGTAGGCAAGTGACGAGTTCTTTTTGGCTTATGTTTATACAGTATCCCTGACAGACAGGTACGTCGGCCCCGAATCATGAAAGGTAAAGACCAGCACCTGGAATTGGACCTAGAAACAAATTGGCTATCAATGAAGAGATCAGAAAATGAGAGTCATATGCTGCCAGTACTCAGCCCCTGATAGCAAACGAGCTACCACATTCTTTATGTTACAGTTTCCAAGTAGTCTTCAAGCGCAGCCTCACATTTCTTAGCATAGTTTCTGCCTCTCTTCCCTCCCACAGGTAATTCTGTTCTTCCCCCCACACACACACTCCACACACACCTTTTTCGTCCCCTTTGGTTCTTCTCATCCCTTCTCCTCAACTACTCACTCATTTGCTAATTTTTTTCTCTCTTGTTTTTGTAACATTCATGTGTTTATTTATATATGCCATCTTTCTTATAATACAGTCAGGACCCAAGGCGGATGACAGCAATAGATGCAATTGAAAAAATAATCTCTTAAAAGAATTAAAACATATAGT